TTCGATATCAGTGTGTATTGAACCTAAAGCACTGTATTGAACGGTTCGATACGGGTACATGTATTGTTGCGCCCCTAAAAAAAGTATATACTGTATATACACACACACATACTGATGAAGGAGAAACTAATATCAAGTTCTGTTTTCTACTGAAGCGTCTTTAAAAGACTTGTCTTTCAAACTGTCAGTAATTATTTATGAAAGTCTTAAAAAGAGAACGAGAACATGAAGCCTATGTTGACGATATTACCGTAGGTTCTACAGTGCTGGTATCTAATCTAATTTAGAACAACTGTGATGACAGAACAAACTTCCCCAATAATAAACATATTTACTTTGTGTTTGTTTTAGTGTTTAAGTAATATGTCAGACTGGGCCTTCAGTTTAAAAACAACATGATTACATTGTTACCAGAAGATGCCGCTCGTATGACATAACTTTTACCTGATCTCTTATCTCGGTCTGATCCAGAGACAAACAGGACTGACAGATTCTGCAGAAGAAACGTACGTCCTTCTTCAGACGCTTCAGCTCAGCCTGGAAGAGATGGAGGACGGAGCAGTTACTCTGAGAGAAAAAAAAATCTCAATAAAATCTGCACTCATTACATCCAAAGATGAATTAAAGTGAGGACAAGATAAACTATAGTGTCAGTGTTATGAATCATCACATTCTGCTTTTAAAATATGTATAATATGTGCAGTAAATCCACCAGCATTTGTTTACAGGTAATGTCATCAGTGTAGATGTTTTTAAAATGTTCAATTTGAATTTGGCTAAACCTAATCAGACAAAGGCTCAACATATCATAATAAATATACACAAAGAAAAGGTGCATGTTATTACGCAATGAAAAAAGTTGTCGTAGCAAGACATGTTTTTAGTATGCTTGAAGAGGTGGTGGAGCAGAAAAGCTTCAAATAAACTCACAAGACTTAAATATAAAGAATAAATAAGAAGTTTGAAAGACAAAAGGCGAACCAGAGGAATAAACTGCTTAGTCTCTGCAGACTCAGATGTACTGTAACACATTACTGCATTAATTATCTATCAGTGAGGAGGATTTCACAAACACTCAGGCACCACCAACACAAACCGGCTGTGAAATGATAATTAATATAAAAAAGGGTATGAATTATATACAAACCAAGGCACCTCCAGGATCCAGGTTAGTGGATGAAAAACAGATTACTTTTAAAGCTTTATTAAGCAACAGGTTTTAATTAAAGTCGTATAAAAAGCACCTCAGCTGGTTTTGCGTTGACTGCATTCAGTTTGGCCCACATGAGATGAAAACCTGCACACTTCAGAGCCGCCACCATCAGCTGAAATTACACACAGATCAATAAATAGACTTTTGTAGAGATGTCAAGCTATATG